TCTGTCCAGCACTTCTAAAATTAGACAAATACCTAGGGTATAATTACAGATGTGTTATGAGTTTGATAAGATATAAAACGACATAATCTGATGTCCTTTGAGGAGTGTACAAAACACGTCTGACCTGTGTTTTTGTATCAACATGTTTTAACAATCTTATCATTTTAAATGTTGACTATTTGAACTCTGTAAGTAGGGTTTTCTTACCCTAACTGTATCTTTATTTATCTTCACTTATCTTTCTCGTGTCAGCTACCCTTATCACAAACTCTGATTAAAAATACTAATACATGGTTTTAAACTAAACCAACGTGATTAACTCATCTCCCGAGTTACAGGGTACAGTGACAGATGACCTGTTATCTGTTTTAGAATAGCACAGAGGTGTTGTAAACTTGTTACCACTCACCAATCCCATTCTCTACCTTGATAATCACCAGGTGAGGTAAAAAACTAGTCGATGGATTGATGTAGTGTTAATGTTTCGCGGAGAAAAGTAGGGATTGGACTGTGATCAATATATTGATATATAACTTGTAAGGTTTAAATTGAACTTTTCGAGTATCTGTTTCCTTAATGGTATATCTTTTTTTCAGTATCATCGTAACGTTACAATGGACAGGATCATGGAATGGAAATACGTCATCATAGGTTTGTGAGTCGTTAATCTGTTACTTAAGAAAGCACGTACCGCTCAATCATACTCCTTAGGAACTTAGTCTTTTGTTCAAACATGAAAACATTTGAAACCCCAGCCTGATTGCTGAGCATGATGAGTAGTTGGATACACATATCCCCCAGGTTTGACCCTGGGTTAGAGCCCTATCCCTTTGATCTTAGTTGTGTAGCGGAACTGGACTGGGTTGATCGTTGGTGACCAGGTAGCTCAATTGGTAGAGCGTCCGTCTAGAGTTGGGAGGGTGCCGAATTCGAACCCTGGTCTGGTGGTGCATTTTTCGCTCCTATTACATTTGCAATACTGCTTTTAAAGAGAATGTTTAGCCATGATTCTTAAATATCCATATGAGCGATACAAATCCTCTTGTTATGTTTTAGTTATTTAAGTTGAACTGCAAATATATTGGGATCAGTGAAATGTTTTGGACTAACAAGTTGTCTTATAAAGGTGTACTTAAAAGTGCTCACAAGAGCAGCATCGGCTTCTGGCACTTCAACCTTTGGTTAGGTTTGTCTATGTCAGTGCATTTGTCTGACCTTTGAACTGTATCTTTTCGTTTGTTTTGTCTTATATTTATGTATTTGTTTATACTGCAGTAGAAATTAAGCAATTGATTTACCATGAACTCTACAAGGCGTTTAATAGAGCAGAGGTACAGCACTAAGACCGTGACCTATTTATTGATTTACCACGCAGGCATGCCCGTACCACTGCCCAAAACATGGAGACTTATTTCTCTGGCATCACTTCAGTTTTGATGAATCATTTCTGAAAAGTAAACCATATTTTGCTGGACTTTGATGAGAAATAATAAAGATGAAAATAAATAAAATATAAACAACAGTGTTCTGAGTGAAAAAATTGAATGGGGCTACACCAGGATTCAAACCCTGGACTTCGGATTGCTCTATCACTCTAAGAGAGTGGGCCACCCAGTCAGCGCAAGTGTCCTGGCTGCAGTTGTATTCAACCAAAATTAAGGGGAGATAACTGTATATAGGAAATCCTACAGAGCAGTGGGACAAAGATCCTTTCCTCATGTTTCAAAAACACCTAGTGACATTAATCAGAATTGAATATTAATCAGAAAATTCTTGATGGAAATTTATACCTGAAGCATAATGATTTATTTTGTCTTGTCGTCTTAAAATGACTATATTTTTTGTTCCTATACATAAATTTCTATTCAAAATTTCTTCCTCAGTAAAGGTAACACCCTTGTAATGTTATTACTTTGAATGGAGGGAGACATTTTGTTCTGGTGCTGGTTCAGTTTCTCCTATTCTATTCTAATTTTGTCCAGGTTGTAAATTTTAAATTGTTAAAAGATATCATGATGAAACGTAAAGCATACCTATTATCTACAGTAGGTGTAGGTTCCCGTGACCTTTACCTTTAGGTTGAAGGTCAAATGAATGCAAAATGTCAGTACATGTTTTGGCCATCATTTTCAAACTGTTTAATATATTGTCATGAAACTTGAATGTTAACTGCATTAAACCATCTGTGTATAATCTAAGCAATTATGCATATTGGCTTTTAAGGGGGAAAATGTTTTTGCAAACAAAAACAAATTTCTAGTATTTGAATCTATTTATGTATTTATATTATTTTTGTCTGGATATTAAAAAGATCATTATTAGGACAACCAGGGTTGCTATAAGCAACCATTCCGTGGTGATTAAGACACAAACATGTCTGACAGCTGAGAGGGGTGGGACCAAGTGAGAAACACATGGTCAGGAAAGGGAGTAGATTATGCTTTGATCTTCTTTATAATAAATAATAACATATGGGGGGCTGGGTAATATTTAACAGTATATTCTGTGTTGTGATTAGTGACAGGAAATAATAGTCAGAGGATGGTCAGATCCTGGGCTTTAGTCCGTAACTTGACTGTTAGTATCCTGCAGTTGTCATGACAATCATAACTATGGACATCAGCCATGTGTTTCCGCTCTCTGTCAGACTAAGGACAGAACATCAATTACTGACCATGGCGATCATTAATGAAGAAATGGACCTGTTTTATGTGATGTTCAGAGTTATGTAAAATATATATAGATGTATCAGGCAAGGGTTTCCTCTTAATTAATTCCTTCATGAGGTATGCCACAGTGGGAGGCCAAAGAGACATGCTGATGGTTGTAGATGTACCATACTCACCATAACTAGCTCCAATCCCCCTTTTTAGGAGGACTTGAACTTATATAAACCCCCTCCCCCTCCGAGACCTGACCGGGTTCGTCCATGATTTACAACTCCTTCTAAAGTAATGCACCAATTTCAACGAAACTTTCCAGATATGATAACTACCACCTGAAGTTTTTCATACAGGCATTATTTTTTTCATTTTGAGCTTTTTTTTTTTTTTTACAAAATTATGGCCCTTTGTTGAAAAATCTTTGTCTGGACATCTCCAAAACTACGGGGCTAATTTCAACGGAAGTTTTCGATATGATAACTACCACCTGATATTGTCATCCAGGTACTACCCAAGGCTGTCTATAATTACAAATTGTACTGTACATGGTTTTAGTGTAAATAGTGTAACAGGTACTACCAAAGGCTGTCTATAATTACAAATTGTACTGTACATGATTTTAGTGTAAATAGTGTAACAGGTACTACCAAAGGCTGTCAAATGCTTTTTGATCATTTCTATCAATAAAGTAATTGTAAGTAAAAATAAAGGAAAACTAACATCCAAAACCTGAAGTCTACCAGGGTTAGGGTTGGTCACTGTAATGATAAATATTGATCTTTATAAATTTAAAAGTAAATTTATATTGCATAAAAACAAAGTCGAGACTTTTTTTTAAAATTATTTCTATTTTCTTTTTACTCTGTGGTGAAAATTCAGGTTCCAAACGGTAATCAAAATATCAATAGCAAAGAAAAAGACTATTTAAAGTAATTATTCTTTCAACTATGCATTTTTTCTTCTTCTTCTTTTTTGGTGGGAAAGGATTTTTCATTAGATTAACAACTTCTGGATATCACAAAATAGATATTAATATTAAATATGCACTGTTTTTATAACATGATCAACCATTTTGTATACAATAAATTGTATAGATATTACATGGCATTCCAATAGTCTCTGTAGGAGATAGAAGTGTAACATCTCTGACCACATGGATTATATTATGTTAAGATATAAACAATTATATGTGATTATTTTCTGGCAGGATGTTCCATATTAAACCAATAATCTATTATCTTTTGTGTAAACATTGATGAAATATGTTTCCTGGCTTTTTTTAATGTATTAAACAAATATTTCTGAGTTTAAAATTTGCGTTAAGATCTATATTCTATTCGCAATATTAACGTGAAAAAGCTGTGTCTTTTATTCTAAAATACTTTCTTAATGGGCAAGTCAAAATTAATAAATTAAATTTACTTTTATAATCTTGGCTTTTGAAACTCGACTTCTTTTATTTTAAAATATTCTGATATAACTGGACAAGGGTTAGACCGTGTGAAGCCATTTAACGCTTAAAATATGTAAGTCAAAATTAATTTAAATTTCCCTAAGGTTGCCCCATGCTGCTTGTAAAATCCCTTCATAAAAACTGAGTGTCCAGTTTACTGACTGTGGCATCATAAATGTATTTGTATGTAATAAAGCTATGTTGTTGGCTGAGAGAGGATGTTACGTAATGCCCAGTGTGGACATAAGCTTATTTGATATAGCCCTTGATTATCATCTGTGGGTTTTTATCTAAATAACCCTGACAATGTCAGGATCTCACAGCACATCAAAGGATCTCCACTGGTCACTCTCCCTCCCTTGTCCAGTCCACTTCAATCTAAATGTGGCTCATACTATTATCAGTTCAAACACAAGGGTTTTATATTTTAAACATCCTTCAGTCCAGCAAATGTTTTCCTAAAACACATATTGACATTGTATTTGGTAGCAGCCGTGGGATTGTGTACATATGATTTGGGGTATATAATGAACTGACCAAAACAGTGGTTTTCCAGCAGACTGAAAAATTGATTGGCCGAACCAATTAAACCATAACTGACCATAACAAAGCAGTGTGGTATACAAAGGGTAACATCTCCCCTTCTGGCCATAGCCAAATGGACCAACCCAGTCATTATGTAATTCTGAATGGCCAGCTAATTTTTCAGACCAGTTGGTCAGTCCCTGGTCAATCTAGATTTGTTTACACAGTGTTGCTCAAGCCGAGTATGTAAACAGCAGTGTTATTTCACTTGAGTTTTAGTGACCCATAAAAAATGTCCAAAGGTTGCGTGGTCTGTAGTCATAATCATTGACCAACCGCCTACAGCTATTCACACTTGACCAATGGACAGTTTAGAGTGACCAGCACATGTGTGTCACTGCTGTACTTATCTGACCATTTAGTAAAGTGTGAACTTAAACTCTTTGTTGTGATAATACCTCCAGTGGTCCATCCTCGTATTGGATATGCAACAGAGGCTGATTATTTGGAACACTATTTTTATTTCACCTGCCAAAAAGTGATTTATTATTGTTTGGGGGAAAAAACATCTAAAATTGATTTTGAAGTGATATACAAATTTCACATTTTGGGTGAAAAACAAAATCTGCAAAACATTATCACTAAAGGTGTTTGGTACCAGAGATATTTTTACCTTCTGTGTATGGAGAGTTCCATGATTTTGTGATGGAGGGTACAGACAATCAGAAGCTGCAACAGAATGGTAGGTGCATAAAAGAATATTTTTAACATCCTATTAAATCTATATATTTTTTTATTAAACATATACTTTAAATCGAATACATGTTTTTATTTAAAAATATTTTAATACAGTTTGGAAATTTTATACAAGAGAAAAGTCATATTTAATTAAATTCCTTACTTGATTACAATGATGAAGGTGTTTTTTTGTTGTTAAAAATAGAATCTATTGAAACGGAAAAGAAAATTCTCTCACAAGTTAAATTAGCTTGACCTTTCAAATTTTCGCTGATAATTCCATGCATATTTTAGCTATAAATAAATTTGATATTATCAATTTGCTTTAACACTATTCCCATATCAGTATTTCAAATATCATGGTTTAACATGTGTACCTAAAATTTTATTATCTAGCTTTTAGCATATTACTTTGATAAAAGAAATGTGATAACATCTAATGTGACAAGAACATTTTAATACATGGAGAACTTTGGTTTCATAATTTTAATAGTGATGCATTTTAAATCCAAACAAATTCGGAACATTTTTATCACATTACAAAGATTATGAAGGTTCGTAAAAACTAAACAAAAATGACCATTGTTGATTAGAGCTCTCATAGACATGTCTATTATGACTTTATGAATATCATTTTAAAAAGACATCATGATCTTATGTCTGTTGTCACAATTCTGACATCTTAGCCTGTATGGCATCGATACTACCCAAAACAAACGACATGAGTGCATTTAATTGTCATGTGTGGCAGATGTTAATTGTTAATATGATCATGGTTGCTTTCCAACTTTTGCGATACAGGAATTTCATTTTAGCTTAATTAACAAAGCAGTGGACTAGGAAGGTGGTGGTTCCTCAGTGGATTCATACTTCCTGCTCTCCTGTTACATATGTATAGCACAATAGTCACGTTTAACAGTTTTGTTTTACAAGGTCAGAACATTTAGTACATAACAGGAAATTAAAGGTATTTCTGTTTATATCTTATCCTACAATCTACAGATATATTCTTCTAGATTTTTCACCAGTTTTCATTAAATAAAAATTGTATGGTCACTATTTTTGACTAGTGGTGTGTATAAAAACAATTCAAAAATCACTCTTTGACTCAAATTTATTTTGTGTCATTGAGAAAAAAGATCCCTCGAGTCATAGTTTTTCTTGCTCAGTAGACCAAAGCAACCCTTTTATAGCTTTAAATCGGGACGATCGTCCACTAAGCCCAACACACTGACAATACAAACAATTTATGTGGAACAGATTTTTTCAATCCTGATGTGTAACAACATTGGCTGAGGCTATTTAAAAAAGCTTGTTTGTCCTTGATTGATTCAATTTACAGGGGCCAGAATGATTGTCCGGTGTTTGGTCTGAATGACCATTGTCCAGCCAGTATTACGTCCAACATTTTGGCCACAAATTTACACACGTGTTTGACCTTTGTCTGTGTTCTCTTGCTAAAAGTTTTGAAACAATGTAGTGATATTTGTGGTATCGGTGTTATATCAAGGCCATTATAAATCTGCCAGGTCCAATGTGGTACACATATCAAGGTCATAAAGTTTCCATCGATATTCCAAGGGCATACATATACAAAGATCATACACTTTCCAAGGTTATACCTGATAGTCATTCACTTTAAATGGTTTTACTTATCAGTTAATCTAAATGTAGCGGAATTGGACTGGGTTGATCGCTGGCAACCAGGTAGCGCAATTGGTAGAGCGTCTGTTTAGAGTTTGGAACATAGTCTGCCCTTGCATTTTTCTTTCCTTTCCTGTAACAGTGAAGAATGAGACCAAATGCTTGTTCAAGCATTGGGTGTACACTTGGCAAGGGGATGTGCTAACCCTGGTTTTAAATTGTGATGTCTTCTGAGGCAAAGTCTTAAAAAAAACCCAATGGTAGAGCGTCCATCCAGAGTTTGTAAGGTCCGGAGTTTGAATAGTAGTCTAGCCGTGCAATTTCTCTTACCTTTCCTATTATGGTGATGACAGTGACCAACTTTTGTTTCAAGCATTGGCTGTATACGCTTGGTAAGGGAATACACGAAGCTTGGTTGTAAAGTATGATGTGTTCTAAGGCGAAGACTTAGAAATAGGAGTGAGTAACGTAACAAAACAGGACTAGGTCTACCGTCGGTAACCTAGCTGCTAGCTCAATCCGTAGAGCTAGGAGGGTCCTGGGTTTGAACCACAGTATTTTGTCTGCTGTAAAATATATATGGATTTTAATTTATTGAAGAAAAAAAACTCAGTGTCAAGCAGGTGGAAAGTTTCATCATTTCTAAAAGTGAATCATCTCTGGACCGATTAATGTTTAATCGAATTGTTGAAATATAAAGGTGTTGATTTTCCCAAGAGTGCTGTCCCCTTGGTGACAACACTACTGTGGTGGTTGAAATGATGTCAGTCATTGTGGAATGTACTGTTGATCACTATCTTATTATTGATATGTATTTAAAACTCATCAATACAGTGCATTGTCAACTTTTAATACAATAATAATAAAAAAAACATGTTAAATTTTCTTTATTCTGTAAATTAGGACATTGTTAATGTCACTTAATTTCTTAACTTCTCTGATTCTTTCTTTAACTTCTTGTTTATTTTACGATTGTTAATATGTGGTCACCCCTATAATATTCTCCACATGTATTTAAACGAATAACAAAAGTTCAACAAGCTACTTTCGAGACCGTAGTAACACTGTCGCTTGAACCATTTTTGAAAAATGACCTTCATATTTATATTGACAGCATGTTCTAAAGGGGTCGAGTGGTCAAGATTATTTCTTAATACATGTACTAACACATTTTAGTCGGAGCTCTTCTCAAATTTTAACACAAAAATCTAGTTTCTGATTGATGAATATTTGGAAGTTGACCAGTCATCCAGGAACTGACCCCTGTGATGGTCATTGTCTGTAATTATGGTCGATTTCATGTGGCTTGCATACTGCCCACTGTCACCCATTGTCCATCCCAACAGGCTTGTGTGTGACATGAAAACAGATCAAAAAGTAAAGGGTATTATCTGTGTCGGTCAAGGAGAGATAAAAACACTTGAAAGTGACCTTTGGAGATTGAGCTTGAGCCTACTTGTCAACTGGTCATCTTATCTTGAGCCTGCCACATGTACTTTGACTTTTAAGACTTGTCTAAACAGATATTTGCCTAAGTATTCAATAATTATACAACTTTTGTTCTCAGATAGATGTTTGATCCTAACAGCGACAGTGTAACAGGAAATCCGTCTCTCAAATAAGCTTTGTTAAAAACAGGGTAATAGGGAATCTCCCTCAAAAATAAGCTTAAATAAACATTAAAATGCATGGTGATCACCCCAACGCCATCTACTGATATACACACATCCTACATTATACCTAGCTCTCAATCATTCCCCCCCTACATTCAATCCTGCACAATTATAACACATCATAAAGTTGATACTAAATTCTGTGTAGTGAGGAGGATGATTATGGTTTTTATTTTTGTTCCCAAAAATAATAGAATTGTTTTGATGCAAAATTGAAGCTTTGGAAAATTTTCATGCATTTATTGTTTATTTAGATTGAACTTTGAAAAAAATATGTCTTATATATATTGTAGAGTCTAGGGTTACTAATAATTGATTTTTCTAAATGAAGATTTTTTTTAGAAGATCAAAGAAATGACAATAAACCAATTCATTAGCTTTACACACAAAGACGTTTGTATGATAAAACTGGCTGGTACAGTGTAATTATGATGTCATTTTTTTTTTTTTTTAAATCACTGGTAGTCCAAGGAAAAATTCTTTTTAAAGACACCAGAAACACATATTCTGAGAAAAAAGGACGTACATTTGTTTTTTCATAAAAGATTGATGGGGAAAGAAGAAATATTTCCCTGACCTCCACCCATCGGTGATAAGATAAAACTTTCCCAGTATCCTGATCTTGAGGCTCTGATTTCACCTCCTTGAGGGACAATCCTATTTGTTTGTCAGCGGCTTTCATGTTTAAAAGCATGTTTAAGTACTTGTTTTATATCACTGCCTTTAGAGGTAATCTTTCTATCTGGTACAGCAGTGACTGACAATCCTTCGTTGATTGTTTAGATGGGCGGATATAGACGTCACTTAGATATACGATTTTACAACCTTATGGTACAAACCAATGCTTTAATTTTTCAAAACTATTCAAGCCAAAGGTTTCTAAAAATAATTAAATGATTGTCTTCCACCTTTTGTTGTCATAGTTTTATTGTGATGTTTTTACTTTACCACGTGTTTTTGAAAAAACCAACAACACTTTTTAGAAAATAATTAGAAATTGCATTCAAATATCTTTAAAACAAGAACCCCCCCCCCAATGATTTAAGAACTGGGTATATGCAGTACAATATTTTTAATGCCAGAACATTAAACTTTCAAATATCAATGTGTCCTATTTATGGGACATCGGATGCTCTATGAGCTCGATTGACATCTTGCTTCTCTTTATACACATTTTTTCACAGTATTCACATGAAAAGTAGCCTGCTAATCGGCGACCTTGGGATCAGGTTTTTGTTTAACAATATGTAAGGTCAATATTATAGTGTATGAACATTCACCAGCTTATTCTCTTCAAGTCCACCACCTGTTTCAAAATTAAATGAGAATACAGTTTGTCCAATGAAAATAAGACTTCTGAAGAAAAAGTCAACCACTTACTTGTTTAACATTTAGGGAGAACACAGATTGGTCATATGAAATTAAACTTTTTCAAGAAAATATGATATTTTTTTGATGAATGTGATTTGAGGCATGAGTTCATTTCTATTGAAATATAGGTGGGTTATACAATATATATATATCAATAAACAAAAGGGGCCTGATAATCGTGTCCAACAATCCTGTTGTTGTCTTATCAAGACACGGCTATCTCTTTATTTCAGTACACATGTACTTAATGACTCGGGCGTCAAAAGCTAGTCAGGAGTAGCATGTCTAAAAGGTGTTTCCATCATTTTATGTTCAT